GGCGCGTGCCACGCGACTATAAAAAGCCCTGAACAATGGAGTGAAGAAATTACGAGTCACCATGGCAACAGGACCAAGCCAAAATAGGTCTGCGTTTTTCCCCGACAGAAATGGATGTGCTACTACAAGCATATAGTGACTACGAGCCCATATTCCGTAAGAGAAGCAACACGGTTGCAGCGGCGAAAGAGAGAGAGTTAGCTTGGGGGAAAATAGCTGCCCGAGTCAATGCGTACGTTTACATTTTAATCATACAGTGTTCGGTATAAGTAATTACTAAATAATGTTAGTAATGTTATTATTTGTCACTTGTAAAGTAAGGAATGGTTCTTAATTCTTCAATAATTGAATGAGTAACTTCAGTAATTGCATAAAATACCGATTTTTGTACGAATTAAAAGTGCAGTTTTATGTCTACCCTTTCTTAAAATTCCTATTGTGGTTGATATGGGATTTGTAAAGTAATGATTAATAAATAATCCAGTACGTTTTATGGAGAGTAAGTATTACATTAATCAAAATACTTTTTTAAAAATTGACCCAACACTGATGTAATAATATAAGAATTGAATTTTAATTTTCATGTAGGTGCATTGATGGGAATATGTGTGCCATCAATGCATCCAACCACATTAGGAAATCCTGAAGGGGATTCTAATTATTAGTTTATTTCCAGAGGTCACAGCAAGATGTTATTAACTGATCATCATTTGTCAGATTAGCCTTACTGAAACGAATTCAATACCACTAACCTGCAATCCTGTGAAACTCCTCTTTAATGGCTCTGAGGGGTTTGTGCCCAGGAAACACAACAAAAATTCACAGAAAGCGCTTGAGGGCGAGGCACACTTTCCGAACTATTCTACATACTGTGGCCTTACTAATGGGCTCTGCATCCCCGATGCAAACTGCCATTTGCAACAAATCGTAACGCAACACAAAGCATCTGCTCGGATGTAAGAGCACGGCCACAATGGGTGATGTGTCTGATGTATGGGTGGATAAGATTATTGATATATGTTATGGACTCTCTAGAAAAACGGTACCGCTCAAATAAAAATACATGGGGATATGACAAAAAATCAACTTGTGGCCTCAATATCCTCTCCCGACGTAAATGCAATTCCCTGTGAATTAATACAGCGTCCTCATCTACAGGATCCTCTATGAATGGACACGCCATTTTGGTCTCTGCGTGACGGAAACGTGTGCAATCTATGAATGTACTGAAAGATTAAATGAGGTATTAAACACCTTTCACTTTAAAAAGGGGCGGAGACCCGGAGGAAACTCTGAGTTTGCCGAACAAAACCTGCTCCCAACCAGGTTAGGTTCACAGAGTAAGTTGCCATAGTAACTGACTCTGAGTTTAGATTACCTCTCTTTGTGAAACGGGTTTAACTTACCCCGCTTCACGGGTTTAAGTTACCTCCGTTTCTAAAACCGAAAACTCCGAGTTGCCCTCATTTCGGGGTTAACAAACTCTGAGTTTCGACAAAACCGCCTTCTTGAAATAGGCCCCTGCTCTGTTAAACAACGAGTGGAAAGTTGGGATGTTCTAGCTCCAGGCTAGTTATCTGTTCTGCCAAAGTGCTGCACAGCATAGACATATCTATCGACTGAAACAATACTAAAACAAACAAAACAATACTAAACAGTCAACAAGATAATCATAGAGCATAAAACAAGATGTAGACAATGCCATTTAGAGGCAGATAAAACAGATTAAAGATCAAAGGCCTGTTTAAAAAGGTGGGTTTTTAATGTAGATTTAAAAACCACTAGTTCGGTGATAGACCGAATCTTGTGGTAGCGAGTTCCAGAGTCTGGGGCCATAAACAGAAAATGCGCGGTCACCCCATTTTTTGGATCGGGACCATGGAACCACTAGGGACAGGTTATTAGAAGAGCACAGGGCTCTACGAGGAACATAGATAGATAAAAGTTCAGATATATTCGGTCTTATTCTCATTTAAACCAAGAAAATTCTGGGCAAGCCAAATCTTGATATAGAGGATTTGAGCAAATCGTTGAACTCCTTCACTAACTGATCTGAAGCACAGTCAACATGAATATTAAAATCTCCACAAATTAAAAAGCTGTCAAATTGTGGAATCAATACACCCAGGAGTTCCCCAAAGTCATTTATAAAATCCTTGGCTTAAACACATAACGTAGGTGAGTGTAAGATTAAAATGAAAGTTTGTAGTTCAAAACTGGAAAAATCTCTTGATGGAAACGGGCGACATTTTAGGGTCGACTTAAAGACCGTTGCCAGACCGCCACCTCTGCCGGCCAGCCGCAGCATATTAAAAAATGAATAATCCACCGGTAACAACTCAGAAAAGAGACTGTTGTTGCCTTGTTTCAACCAAGTTTCAGTAATAAAAAGCATATCCAGGTGGTGTGAACACATAAGATTGTTAAGAATAAAGCTCTTGTTGTTAAGTGATCTTATGTTCAGAAGAGCAAACTAAAGCGGACTTGGCTTGTCCAAAGAGAAGTCATTTCGAGTCACTGGGCGGAGGTTAGCCTGGGAACGATGTCGGTCCAAGCGTCTAACCAGCCAGCAATGTGGGTGAGGGGGGTCAACATCTTCGCCAGCCGGCAGAAGAAAGCGATAGTTGTAGGTAAGAGTCCAGCTTGAGTCAAGGCAACCATGCTTGAGGAGGTGCTCCCTCCACCATGGTGAGTTCAGGCCCGATTTCAATCTTACATGATGTCCAGCTCTCCTACCGCGTCGCCTCCAACGAGGCCTACCCAGAAGAGGGCCAGTACTCCGCCGAAGGAAGAAAGGTATAGATGCCGGTGGTGGCGGTGGAAGTTCAAATTGATAGGTTAGGTGAATGCTGGAAGATCCAAACAACGAGTTGCGTATATCAAGGAGCATGAGACGATCATAAACCAAGGTAGAAACAACAGAAGCAGCATCAAATATCAAAAAACAGCAAATCCATAGGAGAGTCAGACGGCAAGCCAACAACAACGGCGCCATCTTGAAATCCCCCAGGTCTCAGGTTGCCATACATATCTCATCCATGTCAGAGGCCCAAAAGCTTTGCAATTGATAATAAGAGTCTCTAAGTATGTATTGCATGTCCTCTGTAGCGCTGTGACATCTGTGCACCAACCTTCATTTATGTAGAAACAGATTCGACCTCCTCTCATTTTCCCAGACAGCTCTGTTACGCGATCCGCTCTGAACACCTGGAAGCCCGGTACTTGTATTATGCCGTGAAGCATAAAGCAGCAGAGCGTGCAAAGTCAGAGTTTGTCCTGTTGACGAGAAGAATTTCATACATTTTGTTGACCAGGGAGCAGAGATTTGCTAGGTGGAAAGACGGGAGTGGAGTCCGGGTCCCTCTCTGGTGTAGCCTCACTAAGGCGCCCACACCCTTGCCACGCCGGTGTTTCTTCCAGATCCTGACGCCGGCAGCTGTGCCTCTGATCAGAATGTCCATACAGCATTCTTCGTTTGCACAAATCGGAGAAAGGTAGTTTGGTGTGAGGTGTCTGATATTTAACAGTTCTACTCTGGTAAAAGTAATCCGGGATGAGTTGCAAAAGACTGAGAAAACAAAGAAAAACAACAAACACAAGAAAGCGCGAGTGACCAAGGCTACCATCGTCGGCGCCATAGCACCTTTACAGACTGGCTTGGCCATCAGTTTGAGTCTTTGTGAAATGACTCCAAAGGATTTCAAAGAAACCATTTTAAGATAAAATTTATTTTCTTTATTGATTAATTTATTACTATTTTTCATTTAAATGTTGGAAAAATGTAAAAAAAAACAAAAAAAAACCTGCTCATCAGAGCCCAAAGCACCAGTTAGGAAATGACACCTAACTGGCAAAAAAAAAATTCAGAATGATACATTTTTGGTCCTACTTTTAGTAGTTGAAATAAGAGCAACTGATCTACATTCCTATCTTAGGACATCACTCCTATCTCCACCAAAATGTAGGACAGCTCCAGAGGTATCCTAACAGGTTAGGAGCTGTCAGGAGGTGGCACTCAGACAGAGATAAACACACAGACTCAATGGGAATTTCATGACCCTGAGCTCATTAAATGATAGTTTGGAATACTTTTTCTGACATCTTGTGCATGATGCAGTTGCTCCAATAAAAGCTTCCACATGTTTTCTCCACTTCAGCCATTGCATATTTAAGCTGCCCTTTTTACAAAGCAGGTAGAGCAGTGATTTGAGACTGTCAAATCTGACATTGGCTGTTATAAATAAGACCTCGATTGCTCTCGCAGTTCCACTGCTGATACACAGATTCATTCATTTCTACACCACTCACTGTTAAACAGTGAAAAAACAGCTACAAATATGCAACTCATCGGTTTCCTTGGACATACTGGAGTCATCGATGGCACACATGTTAAAGTAATCACCGCGAGCACCAATGAAGGTGCTTCTGTGAATCGAAACTGTTACCACAACATTAACACTTAAGTGGCTGTGAACTACATGATCCTTGAATTAGTTGCCAAATGCTACATTATGAGTGGCTTTCCAGTAAATGTTCATCATATTACAGAAAGAGATCCGATATAAAGTGCATTACTATAGCATGTAATGGTGTTATTTCTGAGACACTTGATAAATATGGGCCCAGGTTTTTAGTGTTTTGTCCTGAAACTGAATCTAGGACAGCAGGAAAATTACATTCTCTTTTAATATGCTGGGCGCACGCATGTTTAACAAGAGTCAACCATTTAAAAATTTGATATGTACTTACAGTAAGGGAAACATGCTGAAACCCAGAAGCCTACACTTTGTTTTATTAGTTGGGATCTTTTGGTGATCACTTTTGATATAAAGATTTTTACTTGTTTGCATTCATATGTAAACAACTTGTATTTAGAGTTATTTAAGACTATTATAGATGTTTCTATTCCAAATCCAAATTGTGATTTGTCACTATGTTTTTAGACATGGGTGTGGTCTTGTATGTATGAAATCAGGCTGAGGTGGCTCTTTTTCACTCACCGATAAGATCTGGTCACCTCGCCGCAGCTCTCCACTCAGGTCAGCGGGTCCGCCTGCCAGGATGAAGGAGACAAATATGCCCTCACCATCTTCACCGCCCACAATGTTGAAGCCAAGGCCTGTGGAGCCTTTGTGGAGCACGACCTTCCTGGGTTCCCTGTACAGACAGTTCAGATAGTACATCAACTGTGGGGCGTCGGTGGGTCTCAGCATCTTCAGCTAGGGCAGTGGAGGTCAGAAAAGTAAACAACAATCACATTGTACATTGATGAAAGCGTCAGTGATGCTTTGTTCAGGCAAGAGCGCTTGAAGACTGTGGGAGTGCCACAGGGGGATGGTGTTCTATTTAGGATCTCGTCCTCAATTCAGCTCTGATGGAAAAGGAACCTCGTTGCATTCTTACACATTCACACGTGCACTGACTTGCTTTCTCTTTCTGTCTCATGTGCACACACCATGATAAATATATGATGTGTACAAACAAGGATACGTGCTCCCTGCACAGCTGTAGCAGCATGTTCAGGGTTTAGACTCAAATACAAACAAAACTATAGGCCACACTCTATTTTAGGAAGATTTGGTTAATGTACCTACAAGTGTACATGGTGGAAGTGAAACCTACTGTATGACAGTAATTAATTTTCTCCATTGTCAAACAGGAATGATATCTAGCAAAGTAAACAATTTTGAATAAAAAGATTTCTCATTTTGCCCAATGTATTTATTATCACGTTACATCTGACATATTTAATAAAAGCAACACATTACCCTTCCAGCACAGGACCAAATACAGTATTAACATCATATAACAGCAGACTGCTGCCTGCTGGTGAATGCATAAACTACAGGAGCAAGAAGCAGTGAAGTCACATCATGGGGCACTGCAGGCCATTTACTTCAGGCTTGTTAGAGTACTGAGTATTGACAATTTGAGGCACCAGTTGTGTGTCCTCTGTTTCAGTACCCCATAGTGAATCACTGTCATCAAAGCCAGCCTTGTATTTGTCATTATTTAAAAACATATTAGAGTTTCCTATTTTAACAAAAACTCAGTTTTTATCTCAGGTAAACAAGTTAAGTGTATACTGTGTTCTACTATATATGAGCACTGTTTTGTGCTAAGTTGTAAAAGAATTTGTAGTTAGTGACAGAATCCACTCAATGAATTCTAACCTTGAAGACAGGCTTCTGACAGCATGTATTTGCACATATTCAAGCATTTCTAACAGAGCACAGACAGACTGCAGTATTGTTCCCACATTTTTAACTGACCTTGCAACCCCACAAAGTTTATAACAAACACATCATCTAATCATGCAGCAGTGCCATTTTGATGCACAGGATTGATTTGACATTTTGTTGAACTTATTAATAAGAGTATGAATAAGAGTTTGAAGAAAGTTGCTGTGGGGCTGGAGTCATTAATTCCAAGTGCAGAAAAGACTTAATGTGGCTCATTCCTAGCACAGTCTATGATGACCCTAGCATACTCTCATTTCATTAAATTAAAAAAACAAATTCAGTGAGCGGATAGTTGCATGTATAAGGCGTGTATGACTCTTGTGTTATTACTGTTGCATAAGATACATAATCAACCCCCTACAGTAAATGCATGATTAATCCTGGAACCTTATAAACCTCAATAATAGGTTACAGTAAGATGAACAACAACAGTTAACTGGGCAGTTCACCTTTATCTTGTTCCTGGTGTTTTCATTTGTCTCTACTACAGAGACACCGAGTGTGTGAAGCCTAAGATGTAAACCTAAATTGCAGAGGTAGGATCAGATTAAAACTAGCCCAAGGTGGACCGAGTTTTACAATTGAACCGGAAATGATCATATTGTCTGGGACTATATTGGTTTGTCACCTGAGGAGCATATTCTTTGTAGTTGACATGTAGTTTTGTCATCTAAATTAAATTAGCATTGTGTTCCTATGATGAGCCCATTATCCACTAAGCATGGTCATTATCTACACTTTAACATCATTCTCATTCTCATATATTCAAACTGGTTTGGAGTGGAGATGAAACATGCTGAGGCAGCCGAGTAAAGTGAAAAACAGAATGGCACTAAAAAGACACAGCCAGGGCAAGTGTTCTAGCACAGCCACAGTAAAAGATGGCTACAAGGACATTAATAACAACACAAAATGTTAATTAACAGTTATTACAACAACAACAAACAGTCCATCTGTAGACACAGGCAAGAACAGAGGACAGCATCTTTCAAAATGAGGTGTGAAGGACTGATTTATGACCCTTAAGCCCCACCTATGTACTTTTTTTTATTATTAATCTTTTTACAAACATAAGTTCAACAAATACAGTTGTACATGTTATACATTATTCCCTTTTTTTTCCCCATCCCCACACCTAGTACATCCTCACAAAAGGGGGGGGACTAACACCCAGAACAGTAGAACAGTCTCTATACAGTCATAAAATAAAAGTAATGCTAATGACTATACTAGTGTCATCTGTCTTTACATAAAGGAGAGGCAGAAGAGGCAAACACTATACAAAGCAACAATCACAACTCTTGGATACTTCTCTCATTACAAGTAGTGAACAGTAGACAACACAAAAAAAGGGGGGGGAGAAGGGGGGTCAGTCTAAAGGTAAGACTGAAAATATTCAATAAAAGGTTGCCATTTATGAAAAAATTTGGTCAAAGCACCTTTTATTGAGAATCTTATCTTTTCTAGCTTAAGAAAAAACAACATCCCGCAACCAGAGAGAAACAGAAGGAGGATTTGAAGATTTCCATAAAAATAAAGTCAGACATCTTGCAAGAACAAATGTAAAAGCCAATATATCTGCATCTATGGAGTCAACATGTGAGGAATCTACTGAAAGGCCAAATATACTGTAGCTAGGAGAGGACTCATAGTGATATTTTTACCCAAAACCTTAAACATGATTATAGAATATTCACCCCAAAATCTCTGCAATCTAGGACAGGAAAAAACTTATGGCTCATATTGCAGGGAGAAGCGTGACATCTGTCACACTGATCTGGAATATTTGGATAAATTTCAGAGAGATGGGATTTCGACCATACGTTGTAATCTAGCACATGGTGAGCTACGTATACTGTGAATCGCTCTATCCCATAGTTGATCTGTAAAGCTCAGACCCAGTTCCCTTTCCCAGGCATTCCGAACTTTGGTAGCTGAGTGATCATCAAATGACATCAACCATGCATATATATTAGAAATAAGAGAAGTCTGACTAGGTTTCAAGGTTAAAAGGTCATCCCATAGTTGGTTGACAGGAAGGGGCGGGAAACTTGGAAATACAGAAGAAGCACAATGTCGGAGCTGAAAGTAGCGAAACAAGTAGGAAGCGGGCAAATTAAAGCCCGACCTCAGATCTGAAAATTTAAAAAAGACACCATCCTTATAGAGATCTCTGAACTGTTTTATTCCTCGACTCTGCCAAATCGTGAAAGTGCCGTCTATAAGTGATGGGGGAAATAAAAGATGTTTTGTTATAGGCGTGAAAGGAGATGCAGATATAAATTTGAACTGGCGCCTAAACTGAAACCAAATTTTAAGGCTGGAAAGTACCACCGGGTTTCTCATGAGAGATTCAGTGGTAGAGAGGAGAAAAGTAAGGCTGTCAAGGAGGATGAAGTGAGTAATTGATCCTCTAGTTTGCACCACAATATACCTGGAGATTGATTTGATTTGATTCATTCTTTCAAACATGTAAAGACAGTCAATATGTCAACACACATAATTTCACACATATCCACAAATGCATTATCAGTTTGCTTAAACCTAGTACTTGAACGGAGTAGGAAGAAGTTAGACTTATCGAGTCCTACCCCATAACATCATCTTACCATCATTGGTTTGCAAGCAGTATTACTACATAGATAATTTTGTTCTACACCATGCTAGTGATATACTAAAAAATATTACAGATTGTTAACATTCTTACATAATGACATACTTTGATAATTATCTTCTACATCACACAAGTAGAAATATTACATAGTGTTAACATTCTTACACCACACCCTCAATGTTACACCTAATTAATCATTAAACCTGTTCTTGCATATATCTTGATTGACACATACCTTTATATTTA